CAGTTAAATTGCCAAGGTTTCATTAATTCATGCATCATCAGGCAGAGAAATCATGACCATGATCACAGAGAAATAATATATATATATATATATATATATATATCATTTTAGGAAAGCGCTAGGGATTATATACGAATCCGACCGTTAAAAAAAAATACACTCATCTTGCCTGTTTCTTATAGAATGTACTGCGTAGTACCGGAAAATATGGATATTTCGATAACATCGACTATTGATGGTCATCCAGCAGTTGAGTCGAATAGTGCGTGTATGATCCTTCTCGTTCTGTTAACTCAATTCTCCCAAATTTGTTAGTTAGAACCTTCTCAAATCAAGACCACGAATTACAAGGTCGAAGAAATCTACGTAGGATGTAAATAAATAAGTATTTCTCTTAATTCGATCTATGGGTGAATGAAAGGAATAATTATTTAAGCGTAGTGTAAGGCAGGGATTTCAGGGAGATAAATTTGCAATAATTGTGTGAATGGAAATCTCTGGAGTAAATTAATTTTACAATAGAGAATAGAAAAGTCGATATTTCCATTATTTAATTTAAAGAGAAAAATAACATATTTTTTGATACGCCAATGTGCTAGAGAATCGATATTAAATTAATATCCATACTTGATTAACATTCCTCGCGCGGGCTCATTACCGCGTATGGGGAGCGTCCCACGGGTGGCGGATGTGGGGATGGTCGGTGGAAATTCCTTGGAAGTTCCTCCCGGCTAAGTCCGATGGACTCGCTGACCAACAATGAGAGGGGCCCTCCAGACTTGCTGGAGGGAGGGGACCTCCAGACTTGCTGGAGGTAGGGGCCCACCAGACTTGCTGGAGGGTGTGACGTAGGATTGAACGCCCTACTCACATATCTTTAGTTCACCAAACACCACAAAAAGTCATGGATCTCCCTAAGGTAAAACGCTCATTATCCGGAGGTAAACTAGTCCCCCGTTCGGGTCTCCGGGTGGGGACTGCTTTAGGGGATTCATGCCGCAAGTTGAAATATAGGGATTTAAATATTGGTACGTGGAACGTAAGGAGTTTAAACACAGCAGGGGGGCTAAAATCGGTCGCGAATGAGGTAAATGGGTACAATTTGGATGTCGTGGCTCTGCAAGAGGTTCGCTGGCCAGGGGAGGGCTCGATGAGGGAAGGAAAGTACACTATTTGGTACGGAGGAAGCGGGAATCATTGTTTAGGTACCGGGTTTCTAATTAGGAGTAGATTACTATCCGCTTTGAGGGACGTACAATTCTTTAGTGATAGAATTTCGGTAGCTACATTTCAGGGACGTTGGTTTAAAATCGCATTAATAAACATACATTGTCCGACCGAAGACAGTGACGATGAAGTCAAAAGTGAATTTTACGATAAACTCGAATGGGTTTATGATAAACTACCGCGAAACTACATGAAAATAATTGTAGGTGACGCGAACGCAAAGGTAGGAAGGGAAGAAGTTTATATTCAGACGATTGGTAAAGAAAGTTTGCACGAATATAGTAATGATAATGGGATCCGTCTGATAAACTTTGCCATCTCGAAAAACCTGGTAATTAAAAGTACGACGTTTAAACGTAAGGATATTCATAAATATACTTGGACATCGCCGGATTCGCAAACACGAAATCAAATCGATCATGTCTTGATACAACACAGCTGGCAAAGCAGTATAATCAATGTACGGTCTTATCGCGGAGCAGAATGTGGGTCGGATCATGAATTAGTAATCGCGAAACTTCGACAAAAACTTAATATAAAAAAGAGAAAAGAAAACCGTTTCGATTTTGAGAATTTTAATTTGGAAAAATTAAAAAATCCATCAATTAGAAACCAATTCGAGCTAGATGTTAAGAATAGGTTTGAAGCTTTAGAGCTTCCTGACGAGGACCACGAGGATATTGACAAGTTATGGGTAGAGATCAGGGATAATATTAAAGCGGTCGGTAACTCGTGTCTAGGAAAAAAGGAAAATAAGAATAACAAACCGTGGTTTGATGAAGATTGCTTAAACATGTGCGAAAAAAGGAAAGCCGCTAAATTAAAAGCTCTAAATAATCCTAGCGAAGACAATCTGGAATACTTCCGAATCTCAAAGAACGAAACGACAAAATTGCTCAAAAATAAAAAAAGGGAGTATCTTAAAAATAAAATAATTGAAATAGAAACTAATAGAATCCAAAATAACGTAAGAGACATGTACAAAGGTATAAACAGATCACGTAAATATGTAGGGCCCGTAACGTCTGGAATTAGGGATGATAATAACAATATTCTGACCGATCCGGTTGACATATTGAATAAGTTTAAGGACCACTTTGACAATATTTTAAATACGGGAAATTATGATCTGTGTCCTCCTTCTGAGTACCAGAGTGCTGAACCGTTGATAGAAGGACCAAGTAAAGAGGAAGTTGAAGTAGCTATCGGAAATTAAAATCATATAAAGCAGCGGGAATCGATAATATTCCTACTGAACTAATTAAGGCATGCGGGGAAGCTGGAGTTTCTAAAATACATCGGTTGGTTGAAAAGATCTGGGTGAACGAGAAATTACCTGAAGAATGGAAAGAATCTATTCTTATTCCGATTCACAAAAAGGGTCCGAGGACGGATTGTAATAACTATCGAGGAATTTCACTCCTTCCGGTATGTTATAAAATATTCACTGTAATCTTAACCAGTCGAATCACGGAATACGCCGAGGAAATTATCGGAGACTACCAATGCGGATTTAGACGGAATCGTTCGACTATTGATCAAATATTTTCTTTACGGCAAATATTAGAGAAAAAATTGGAGTATAACGGTATTGTTCACCAGCTGTATATAGATTTTAAAAAGGCTTACGATTCTATTGACCGCCAGAAACTGTATAATATTCTAATCGAGCAGGGAATTCCAAAAAAACTAGTAAATCTAGTCAGGATGTGCTTGACGGAGACACTCAATAAAGTTAGAATCGGTAATAATTTGTCCGAAAAATTTGAGGTTCGTTCGGGCTTAAAACAGGGGGATTCTCTTTCGCCTGTCCTGTTCAATTTGGCATTAGAACATGCCATTAGGGAGGTAATGCGTACCGAGAAAGGGTTGGATCTGGGCGGGACAACATCCGTGCTGGGCTATGCTGATGATCTGGTACTGTTAAGCGAAGACGTTGAAACTATAAAACTAAATACGACAACGTTAATGAAAGCCGGTAAAGAACTAGGACTCGAAATAAACGTGGATAAAACAAAATATATGGTTAGCTGCAAAAATGGCGATACTACTGGTGATATCGATATAGATGGTAATATGTTTGAACAGGTAGATAAATTTAGGTATCTAGGTTCTACGATAACTAGAAAAAACGAAATTGAAGAAGAGATTAAAGTTAGACTGAAGGCGGGGAATGCTTGTTATTTTTCTGTGACAAAACTACTCAGTTCGCGCCTCTTGTCCCGAAACTTAAAAATTAGAATCTATAAAACAATTATCTTGCCTACAGTTCTTTATGGATGCGAAACTTGGCCGCTTACATTAAGGGATGAGCAGCGTCTTAAGGTTTTTGAAAATAAAGTATTGCGTAGAATATTCGGACCGAAGAAGGATGAGTTAACCGGAGAGTTCAGACGGTTACAGAACGCCGAATTGCGTGAGCTATATCCGGGTAATATAATTGAGGTAATTTCATCGCGGCGAATCAAATGGGCTTGTAAAGTTGTTGGGCTTAGTAACGAGAGAATTCCTAAAAGGTTAATATTTGCTGTGCCGAATGGTAAGCGTCCGAGGGGTAGACCGAAGCGAAGGTGGGAAGATTGCATTAAAGTTGATCTGAAGGGACTGGGTTTGGACGGCGAACGATGGAGGGAGGTTTGTAACAAGCGATTGGTGGTGTCGGCATCGAACCTTCGGGTTCGCTAAGCCTTATTATTATTATTATTATTATTACTTGGGTAACATTACTCTAAATAAAGACTTACAGATGCCAACAGTTAACGACCACATACGAACATATTACAAAATATTTCATAATAACTTACACGGACCTACCAACTCATTGATTCGAGGCATGGCTACAAAAGAGGCTTCAAAGAAGCTGGATGAGGGATCTCCTCCACTAATTATAAATATAACACTCAAGACGGGAAGGACGCCGCTGGGAACTCCTTTCCTTCACGCCTATTCCAAGAACAATTAACCTTCTACATCTTGACATCACACTCGCTGATTGTCGGAACTTCTGTGGGTGGTTAAGAATTGAGATAACAAAAAAATATTCATTTTTCAAAAATGTTTATAATATCGATGAAAATATCGACTATAGTTATTTCAAGTCTGATATTATTTTTAGTATCGATAGTTATTGGCCGATAGTCTTAGATCGATGACAATAAAAACATTGTGTCTTCGATATGTATTATGGATATTTTGCATCTCGCTGAGCTAGATTACCCAGGACAGCCAATCGCGGACGAAGGTAGATCGAGAGAGAGAAGTGAGAAAATAGTGGAGAGTATATTTAAAGATATAGATAGCTATGAGTATATTTAAACTAGTGAGCGAAATCGTAAATAGTCGTAGCGTGCCGTTCCAATTAGAAGTGTTATAAATCGGTCTATTTAGGTTCGCTATATCCCTGTCTTCTCTTCCCAACATCTCTTCAAACATCACCCCGAGACTTCTTCACAATCGCCTTCTAGGAGCGATTCGGGATATTTCTGTATTGTTTGCGCAGTTTCTATATTCGCAATTTCTAAAAACAATTCTAGGCTTCCTTCTAACACTTAATAGAAGAAGAAAAAACATTCTACCTTCTTCGCAGAAAGTTCCATGTTTTATTTTTACGTATATTTTTACTTCTTCACTACCGAAGGTAAAACTACGATATCAGTGATGAATATTTTAAAAGAAAAACGATTATATTAAATATAAATGAAATTTTCAAATTAGATACATAGTTTATTTTATTTGTCTAAGGAAATTCCTGTACAAATAAATATAATGGTATAATTAACAATGTTAGATCTTGAGTCTAGTACTGCATTCAAACATAACATTAACAATGTTCACGGCATTAAGTATCACTCAATGCCAAGAGATAAGTACTTGAATAGATAATGAGAGATAAGTACTCAAGCCAAGAAATAAGTACTTGAAGGCATTTATCACTGAATCCAGAGAAGATGCTGGTGTGGAGGAGATACTGAAAATAAAAACTACGAAAAAAATAAACCAACTGTATCATTTCATACAGGGCTGTTCATTGAACTGTTAAGTGGTAAAGTTAATCTTATAACATATATTAATTCTTGTTTATATTGTCATTTGTCTTATACCTCTCGAATATTTAAAAAAAAAATAAAAATAAAAATGTTTTATTTTATATTGTTGTTACACAAAAATGCTAATTGTTGTGTATATACCATTATATTTATTTTTACAGGAATTTCCTTAGACAAATAAAATAAACTATATATATATATATATATATATATATAATATATATATATATATATATATATATATATATATATATATATATATATATCGTTTACTAATCTGTTATTATATTAATTATTATATTATTATTATATTAATTATTATTACTAATCTGTTATTATATTACTAATCTGTTATTATAGTTTACTATCTGTTATTATTAATAACAGATTAGTAAACGATATATATATATATCGCTTTGTCCAATAGTTGATCACTTTTTTCAACACTTCAACACTTAATGGAGATCTCCCACTTTCATGGCGAGCCACATAGTTCGGTGTATTTCTTGACCAATGGAGCAATGACTTGATAAATCGAACTTGCGTCCTCTCCAAATCCTCCAAATGTACGCTTTTTATGTCAATTATGTTTTGACATTGCAGAAGCAATATATTAAACATTGCCTCAATGATTGGTTTTGATGAAATATTGATGGCATATAGGCTATATGATATAGCGTACCGAAAAAAAACAACAAAAAAACATTCGACAAATAATATTTGAATAATTTTCCAAAGATTGATATTTATAAATTTAACAAACGTACCTGGGAACTTTGGTGATAGTACTGCATGTTTTTGATTGAAAAGCCTGTAGTAGCTTCGTATGTAAGTATTTTTGGCTGACTCGTATATCTGTCAAGCATAGGTCCAAATAGGCTTAAGTAAGTAAGTGTATGTATTCAATTTTAAACTAAGTTTTAATTTCGAACGCATTGAAAGTAGTGAGTATTATCAAATGTCAGTCCTAAATAGTGAACTTAATCTGTCTGAGGAATTTGGACATTGTCCGAGGTAAATCTGAGGGTAAATTTCTCGTCGAAGAATAAAAGTAATATGTCATGATTTATCTTGGTTGATTCGAATTTTCAAGAGTTTGCATCAATCAGTACTGTTAGATGATGTTGTAAAGTCTGTGAGGTATGGGTAGAATTATTAATGTCTCGTTAAAATTGCTATATCGTCTACGTCAGTCGCTGTAATAGTTCTGGCGTAGTAAAAAATTAAAAAAAAACTGTATAATTTAGTTCATTTCTAGGAAAAAATCTCGGACCTAATTCATTGCATATTTTAAATTATAATATCCCCTCGAGCTCTCCTAAACTAATTTTCAAAACAAATGTAAAATTCATATAAAATATTATAAGATGATCCTTGGGAATGAATATTCGACTTACATAAAATTAATTTCAAATAAGAGAAGTTGACCAAACAGACAAGCCCTTTACTGATATCATGATCCGTTTTATCAATTTCCCATTCATCAACAACTATCAACATTACGTCGACAGTTGAAGCCCAAAATCAACTGCACAGAGCCTTGGGTTGATTGATTGCTTTCGGTAATAAGTAACTATATTTAGTTTCCTTTTCATTGATCTCTGTTGAGTTGCGGCAGACATCTGTTTTCTTAGGTATGTCATTTCGTTTTCAAACTACAGCCAACTCTATCATCTGATCTATATTTATATAGAATAGAAAATAATTTTATTCTGGGACGAAGTCCCTTTAGAATAACAAAAAAGTACAAAATTAAAGTATTATATCTGGGTTAAGTAAAAATAAACATAAAAAGTAAAAATAAAGAAAAAAAAGTAAAGAAAATATTAGTTAAACATACTATGTACAAAATAAAAAAAATCTATATACAAAACACTTGAAACTGTGCCAAGACACTTAAAACTATGTTCAGTGGTAAAATATAAGTATACACTTTAAAAATATATATATAAATAAAAAATACATTACATTCTTCTTAGCAATAAACTCTGTTTTTCTGCAGAAAAAAAAGGAAAAGAAGACGAATCTGATAGTAACTATTTGAGTAATGAATTAAATGTAAATATATCATTATGTGAGTCATTTTAAATATTATGCAAATTTACACAGAAAATTATCGGAGGGTTTCTGACTGTTTTTGGATAGAAATTGGATTAGAAGGGTTTTAAAGGGTTTTAGATAAGGAGGGAGAATGCCGAATTTCGATAGGAAGGGAATTCCAGAAATTAACATAGCGAGTAATAAAAGAGTTTTGGAACGAGGCACATCTGTGAGAAATAATGTAAAGGTCGGAAGTTCAAGATCTTGTGAAAAGGGATTGGACTGAGGACTTGAATTGGAGAAGATTGTAGGCGTAGGAATATGTATATATATATATAATATTCGCGTCGGCGGACTCTAACAATAAAAAAAAAGAAAGGAAAGGGCTTGAAATGCAACACTCACGGTTTCAGAAAAGATACTGATTTATTCCTTTAGTAATCCTCCTTATATACATTTCATATGTTTATTTACATTCAGGACGGTATTAAGGCTGATATCGCCGGTCTCCGGTCTTTATCTCCCCCCCACCAGTT